TGTGTGAAGCATCCTGAGAGACTGTGAATGAGTAAATAAATCCTACCATGGCACAAAGACAACCTACATTCCTAGAAATTATGAGTCAGTACCACTTGGTATTATTTCTGCATCTCTATTTCTACTACAATTGTTTTTCCACCCTCTGCTCTCTAGCTCTCTGAGCAATAACTTTCCCTCCAGCTCTGTAACCAGTCTGATGCTGACTGCTATTTATTAACATCCATTTAAATGAGAGAGGGAAAGATTGTGTTTGTTGTGGAGATTATAAACAGTAATAGATTGTTTCTGGAAACTGTCATTGGCTCCTGGTATTTGCCTGCACTAAGCTTTGGGCTTTCAGTTTCTGATCAGTAGCATTAACATTAAACAGTCAAAGAAGTGCTCAGAGCCCCTGTTAGAAATGTAAGAGCTCTTTTCTCCCTGGATTGGTTTTAGCCCTCATATTGGGTCTACAGGTAATTTTGCTAAGCTGTGCAAGGTCTAAGTCCTCTCCACACTGTGAATCTCTTTCTAGCTACTGGATATCCCTTGCAATCAGTCAGCTTCTTACCTCACTCTATCTTGCCTGCACTGGAAATGCCATGGGAATTTCCATGGGGGCTTTCAGCCCTGAATTCCCAGTTGGGTGTCAAATCTAAACTGGAGCTGCAGCCAGGAATCTTCACCAATAGCTGGTCTCCTGAGATTGCCCCAAACTGGAGCAAGGATTTTACAGGAGTGCAGGAGGCAGTTGCAGTGAGACCAGGCTGCATGCCAGCTCCTGGATGTGGATCCAGCAGCCTTCCCTACCCATCTCACGGAGCTCTGCTGCACTTGGCATGGCACCCCATCTCTCAGTGTATAGTGCCATCCTCTCTTTGCTTCCTAACTGCTCCAGCTGCCTGTCTTCCATCTGAGCCATGTAAACTGAGCTGTTCCTTAGCCTTTTCACCACCCCATCACCCTGCATTAACTCCCCAGGAGAACTCTTGAGGTAACCTCTACCTTCTCTGCCATCCCACATCAACTGTGCTGATGGCCCTGCCTGTACAGGCCCTGCATCATTCCTGCTGCTGCCTGCGCCAGCTCTTCTGGAGCCACACTGAAATTCAGTGTGACAGTGAAGTCCCTGTCCTGTGGAAACTGAGTGAAGACTTTTTTTTGTTGTGAGAAGGTAACATTTAAAGGCATCCCTTGGGTTATTCTATCTGGCAGCACAGCTGGTCTTTTGTCTGAGTGTTAGTCTTTTGAAATGCCAGCTCTGGTCTTCAAGGCAGCCAGCAGAAGGTACAGCTGGCTCTGCCTGTAATTAATTCCTCATCACTTATCACTTACCTTTATTCTCTCTTTTGACTGGGAAGAAGGAATAATACAGATTACAAGACAAATGCAAAGATTGCCTTGTATGGGAAGAAGTAACAACAGGATTCTTGGTGTCCTGGGATTTCCCTTTTGTTTGTCATTCTCTGGTCTGCTGGAGAGATATAGAAGCAGATAGATGGTCTAACTTTTTGTGTGTCTCACCAGCAGGTGTGCTTAGAAAGTGCCAGGCAGGGGACATGGGGAAGGGGCAACAAGGAAAGAAATAGGCAACAAAACTGTCCAGCTGGCTTTGGACTCTGATAGAAGAAACCAGGCATGATTGCGGTGTGAAACCAGGCAAAAAGGGTGACTGCAGCAACTGGCACTGGAGACCATCCCAGATGGGTCTTTCTCATCTCCACTGATGAGGCATTGGAGAGCAGGACACACTTCAGTTCTTCTTCAGTGGCTTCTTCTTGTAGCCACTGGAAAGGAAGATGACTCAAATTTCCACAGTCCAAGTCTGCAATGTTTTATGGCTCTGCCTAGAGTGTAGATCTGGAGGTTCGTTCACAGGTACCTCCATCACAGGTTGCGTGCCCTTAACTTTACTGGCAACTGGTGGCAGACTGACAGGTGGTAGAAGCAAGTAAAGTAGAAGAGCTGCACAAACTTTTAGCATCTACAACACTGTGGATTCAGTTCAGATGGGATAGAGGTTTTATCACTGTTTCAAGTCCATGAGCCTCTTCCATGCCTCCCACAAGCATATTCCCACTAACAGTATTACTGGAAAATTGAGGTATTGTAGTTCCTTCCCAGTGTCAGGGAACTTCTGTAACTTAGCTAGGATTGCAGGTAGGGCTGTGAGAGCTGGCTGCCCTTCACAACTCTTTTTTCAACTCTTTTTCCAAGATAGCCATGGGATTGCTGCTCTCCTGTTTTGAACATCAGTTTTCCATGTGTAGACAGTAGGGAAACACTTCATGTTGTGAGTAGATAAGGGAGATTCCTTTCCAAATGTAAACCATTTGAAGAATGCCTGTTCAAATTCAGTATTGTTGTATAAGGGAATTTGGGGGCCAAAAGGTTGTTTTTCCTGATGCTGAAAGGACATGAAGCTGTCAGCCAGGATGTGCTCAGGTTTGGTTTGGGTCTAGGCCAGGCATGGCATTCAGAGCTAGTGCTTTGGAGGCCCTAATTTGCATTCCAGATGCTTCTCTGGGTTTCTATCTAGCCTTTGCTTTTTTCCTAGGGCATCAAAGTTCGTTTGTTGTGTGATTTGTCCCAGTGCTGACTACTGAGTCAGACTATTGTGCAGCAAATCCTAGCTACAAGTCCCCAAATGAGGATAGAATAGACAATGGTTGTTTTTAATCCTTGCTTGCTAGCAGCTTCATATTAATACTTCATTTGCTCTCAATCCCTCACCTCATTGGCCCTTGTGTCTGTAATTAGCTGCTCTGAACACACTTCTGTTGACATTGATCTATGGGGTTTAGTTCCTGCATGAGCTGTCAGTTTGGACAAGGGTCTCCATGAGAACTAGGTATCCTTAGAAAGACTCTCCTTCATAGGAAGCTGCTGAGGGCAGGGAAGATGCCAAGAAATCATCAGCTTAAAGCTGGTTTTGCCAGAGGCTCCTATAATGGCTTCTCTTATCTGTGGCACTGTGTTTCCAGGAGGGACGTCTCACTGGCTGGGATCCCCCAAGGTTGTGCAGTGCCAACTCATCTCAAGAGAGAGAGAAACAAGCTATTTTTCTCCTTGTCCTGGGTTGTGGTGTGCATCTTAAACTGAGTATCACCAGGGAATGGGATGGGATGGGATGGGATGGGATGGGATGGGATGGGATGGGATGGGATGGGATGGGATGGGATGGGATGGGATGGGATATGCTATCCCACGGGATATGTCCTGTCAGGCCTTCATTTAGTCTTCTCAACTTGCCTTACAGCTAATGCTTCTGAATATTTCCAGACAACAATGTGTTTTCTATCCTCATTTCACTAAATTATATACATATTTCATTTTTAACTTTTTCTTGTAAGTCATTCACTAAGAATCTAAATATTTCATCATCTTTCTCATGATGTGAACTCCCTGTGATGTATCTCTGTTTCTGACAGCCAGGTGCTTGAGGGAGTATTTCCAGGTCCCTGTCATTCACACAGTGCCCTTAAGGTGGATGTGCCAAGAATGAAGGATTTGGGAGCATATGTAGGAGGGAGGTTATACAGGAAAGTCTGTTTCCCTGTCTCTTCCCCTGACCTCATTCTGCTGCTTTTCTAAAGGGCATATCCATGTGGGAATGCAGCATCCCAAGTGCAGAGTGACTACCAATGGATAAGTAAGGGTTACTATTTCCTCCATACTCTCAGGTGTAATATATGTGTGTATGGAGACCAGAAACCCTGATGAGCAACAGCATGACTACAGTTGCAATTGATTGATTTCTTGAGGAAAAAAAAGTGTTTCAGGTCATCCCTGACTGAATGTTTAACTTTTTTTCTTTTTTCATTGAAGCAAAAAAGGAAAATAAGTAATCTGAGGGCATGCTAACAAAATGCTACAGTAAGACAAACTGAGATGGTTTTGTGAGTGGGTGTAGGGTAGGAAGCTGTGACACTGTTTTCAAAGTGAGAACTGGAAATGCTTTGAGGTTTGTTGGCTTTGATTTTGGTTTAATGATAGACAAAACCTTTTGGGAATTGCTTTTTTTGAAAGAACTTGAAGTCGGCATTGATTCACAGGATCTTTATGAACCTCTGAAAACGCTGGGCTGGGATGGTACCAGTTGGTGTGCAACAGGCAACACTGTCTGGTGCTTCAAAGAACAGCTGCTCAGTCTAAGGCTGCTCCCAGGGCAAGTGGTGAATGAGGACACTGGTTGTACTTCCACAGGTGATGGCCAGGGAAAAAGCAGGGAGAGCCCTGTTAGCTGCATTGCATATTTCAGGTGTCAGTAGTGAAGGGGGCAGGGGGGGGCAAATACATGTTCTGGGCTTCCTATTTCAAGTGGAATGTGGAGAAATTGGTGGGGCCCAGCAGAAGGGCACAGGATGGTCAAGGGCCAGGAGCAGATGTCCTTAGGAAGAGAAGTTAAGGCAGCTGGCCTTGCTCAGTCTGGCAAAGAGAAGGTTGCTATCAGATGTTGACCCCCTACTGTTTCAAAGGCAAATTCAAAGATACTAGAACCAAAATATTTTCATAGTATTCAATTATATGATAAAGAGCAGTGTTCACAACTGGTAGTGCTGGCAGTTCATACTGGAAAACTTGGTTTTCTCATGGAAGTTCAGGACTCGGCCAGGCAAAACCATGCTGCCCTCATGTAGAGCAGGAGACAGCTTCAAGCAGAAGGTTGGATGGGATGCTTCTGGAGGTCCCTGGCAGCTAGTATTCCTGCCAACCCCTTCTCATGCCACCCCAGCCATGCTGCACACTGCTTCTTCCTCATCCTGCCGCTCTTTGGGTCTTTGCTTCCCTAAGAAAGGCCAGGTGGATGAAACATTGCCAGTGGCACTCATCCACGAACTCAGGAGAAAGCTGGCTCCCTTCAGAGATGATCGCTGGGGCTCTGCAGGCTGTCCCTGGGCATGCTGGGGCTTACAGATGTGATTCGAGGCTGAGCCCAGAGCTGTGCCAGGAGCCAGCCCAGCGGGCAGGCTTGGCTGCCTGCCCCAGCATGCCAGAGGCCTGTTTCTCTCTTACAGGCTCCTTGAACCTGCTAGTTCGCGTGCGGAACAAGCGAGCCATCGACACCCAGGTCTGGTCCCTCAGTGGGAATCGGGGCAACGTGTGGCAGCAAGCACATGTGCCCATCAACCCTCCTGGGCCCTTCCAGGTAAGCCAAGCCCACAGTCAAGGAGCCGCCTGCACTCTCCGTGTGCCATGGATGCAGATTTCCTGGCAGGCATCTTCCTCTGTAGCACAGGGTCCAGTAAGGCACAAGGGAGGACACTGGGAGCTCTCAACTCCCAGGGTCATTGGGGCAAGGCAAAGGATTTGTGGATGCACAGAAGTCAAATCCACTTCTCCCTGAGGTTTTTATGTGCAAGCATCTGTTTGGCCCTATAAATTTTCTGATTATTGCTGGTCTGGAAACTGCATGTCAGAGAGATCCTTTTGGATATGTCTCTGTGACAGACAGGTGCCTCGATGCTGAACAGCTGGGGGATGCTGCCCCATTAGTGTAAAGTGACTGAGTGCTAGAGGTTTCTTCTAGTATGTACTGCAGAGCCCACCTCAGCTGTGGCACTTGCTTAGGACTCTTAAGGAGCACTTGTGAATATGAACTGGGCACTCTGCATGTGCTCATCGAGTTGTTCATGTGTACCCAGGCAGTGGGCTGCTTTTATGGCTGAGGTTTTTACTCAACAGACTACTTTGCAGTTGTAGGGTTGCTTGTGAGAGCTGCCCGGTACAGGCTGGTTAAGTTGTGGCACTGTGGCAAAATGCCCAGTGTGCTTTTGGATACTTCAAAATAGTACATAAGAATGTAGTTACTCTTGCAAGTTCTGTTCAGTATTGGTTGTCTTGTTAGAGCAGGACATGTAATAAAGCAGAGCTCTAATGCTCATTACTGCACAGACACTCAGTACGAAGAGGTTGGTCCATAAACAGTGGGATCTGGCTTTCCAGAGGCTATGAATACTGGAGAAACGGGAAAGAAATAATTCTTTTAGAAGCCTGATAAAATCTGTTCTGTGTCATGCTGACTTCTGCAAAGCCCTGCAGCGCAGGAAGGGCCCTCCACACCTGCAGCCTCATGCTTTGCTCTCTCCCATGCTCTGCTTGTAGATCATCTTTGAAGGTGTCCGGGGCACAAGCTATGAGGGGGACATTGCCATTGATGATGTCACTCTGAAAAAGGGAGACTGCCCAAGGAAGCCAATTGGACCAAATAAGGGTGAGACTGTGTCTGCCTCAGAGGCAAACAAGTTGGCAGGAGTGCATGGACAATTGTATATGCTAGGGCTGCGGAGCTGATTTCAGAGCACGTTGATGTGTTGGTGGGACTCAGTGGGATTGGTTGACCCCACCAGCAGAAATCACCAGAGGGGTTGTCAGACTCTTGGGCTTATTCTATACAATGGCGAGTTAGCAAGAGTCATAGGAACAACTGGGAGGTGTTATCCCCAATAAGCCAAATACTTCTGCAATATCTCATTTCCTGGAAACTCTAGTTATGGAAGCTTTGAAAAGAGAAGGACCTTTTGCAGGTGTTAATGGCCTCTGTAGTGTTAAGTCAGTCCTACTCTGAGAAAAAAAAAAAAAATTCTGCCCTTAGGGGAAGAAGCCCTGGTGGGCTGTGCTTCTTGCCACTGCCATCTGAGCAGAGAGGCACAGCCAGGCTAAATCCCACCAGCCCCTTTCCAGTCCACCCGCATAAACTGATGCCAGCACTGCAGCAACAGAGACAATTCCACTCAATCTAGGCTGCACTGTGGATTGAAGCCACATGAGGTGTGTGTAAGCAGTACGTAGGCATTGGGTGGGAGTCACTGGTGTCCTGCCTGTGCCCTCAATAACATGCCTCAGGGGAGCCAGAGAGCAGATGTTCAGGGTATGCAAACCAGAGCCAGACAGGCACTTGAGAGCAAGGTTCAGTTTGGTTTATTTACTTTTGAAGCAAGAAAACCTTCAGAGTAAGAGTCACTTCTAGCAATTTTCTTAACTCCAGAGATGAAGAGGGAAACAAAAGTCAGAACACTTTAAAATTTTCAAAATTTTAGGTGCAGTTAAACGTCTCTATTAGCCTAGGATATAACCATAACACAATGAGAGTCTTTTGCTTGACTCAGGTTGAAAGTTCTGGGGAAGAAAGGATTGGATTGCAAAAGAGTCTAAGACTCAAACTTTTTTCCCAAGTTAGTTTTGAGAAACCTTGAGAACATCCAGGAAAGGCTCAAAGTATGTTCCAAAAGATCAGGGAACTCTTTGTCCTTCAGGGTGGGAGAAGACATAGATGTATGCTGACTTATTTGATGAGGTCTGTATCTGTCCCATCACTAATTCTCTTTCTCCCTTCTCGACTGGCAGCTGTTGCTCTTCCAGGAAGCAGTGTCCCAGCCCTGGACAGCCCTTTGCTTTGGGGACCATTGACTTTCTTCCTTTACGTACTGCTCAGATGATGGCAAGTGAGCGCTCCTGTCTTCGGACCAAGACATTCCTGCTCCTTTCCTACTCAGCCACCTCTGCTCCTCTTCCTCCCCTCCTCTCTGGCACACCAAAGTGTCCATATGTTACCAAAGACTGACAGGCATGACCATGCAAAGGGATCTGGTTCAGAACTGGAGCAGTCCTTGAGAAAGTCATAATGTCTAGAACAAAATTTAAAAATAAAGACAAAACTTTTTTTAAAAAGCACGTGCACGAGAGAGAGTGAGAGAGAGAGGAAGGATAGAAACACACATGGAGAAAGAAGGAATGAAACACAAAAACTGGGAATGAAGAAATGTGAAGAGTAAATGAAAGAAGAAAAAAAACCACACCCATGTTTCCATGGGAATGTCGGACAGGGCTTCCTCAGGGAAGTGTGAACTCGTTTTAAACAAACAAAAATATATTAAAGCACAAATTTCTACCAGAACAGTTACCTTCTTTGCTGCAGAGCCCACAGCTTAGTGGATGATATCCTGCAGTACTCCCCTTGTCTCCTCATGCTTTCCCCCTGGCTGGGGCTGCCCTGCTCCCACTGCAGCTCCCTGCAGTAACACCGGCTTCGTCTGTGGGGCAGCAGCCGCCCCACATGCCGGCAACTGGAGCGCCTTTCCTCGCACCGCATGTGCTTCAGTGTCTCCATCCATCCACATCTTCCAGGTGCTCATGTACTTAATTGCCCCTGCTGTGGTTTGCTTTGGCCTTTCCCCACAGCTCTGTGCTTCTCCTCATCCCCCAGCCCGAAGAAGATGGAGCAAGGAAGCGAGTGATGACATGGACCATGCTGAGTGGTGAAGTCCTGTCTGGATCCAGCTGCAGCATGTGCCTCCAAGAGCCTCTTTCTGTCTCTCAGCACTCATGCTGGATAGGCGTCAGGTCTGAGCTGCAGACAGAAAATCTGGTCTCTCTGGGGCTGAAGGATGGGATGTCAAGGGATGGGACTGGAAGGGTGGAGCAGTTGCACATTGGCTTCCCCCTGTGAATACTGGGATGGCAACTGCCTCAGCCCTAAACCCACAATTGCTTCTCTGCCTGTATTTTGTTACTTATTTGTTTTTTTATTCCATTACTTCCTCCAGCTCAAGTTTTAGGGACTATGGTAAGAGTCAGGCATTTAAATGTTCTTTATCCTGTGCTCAAGACCCAGCCCCTGGGCTGGCAGTTCAGGCAGCTGCAATGCTGCTCTCTCACCTCCCAAGGCCTTTTACGTGCACAGTGCATTCGCTGCAGTGTGAGCAAAAGGTGGCAACAGCATCACTGCTCAGGGCTGAGGTTGCTGAATTTTGTCAGCACATGCAGCCACACAGGCATTCAGCTTCCACTGCCAGGGCAGTGGGTAGAGCAGCTGAAAGGTGGAACAAGCGGGAAACTACTCCAGGAAGGATGTAGGCAGGAAGTTGACCCAAAATAGGCTTGTGGTGAGCTGTGGCACTGTTTGCCACTGAGGAACAAGGGAACAGGCAAGGGGGAAATTCACTTTTTTCTTGATGGTATCATGAGTGGGTAAAGCTGGTGTTTCTCTCAGCTGCAGACCTGCAGCAGATCTGGCCAGCCTCCTCAAGGTGGAGGTGCATGCTGCTCCAGATGAGCTCCCAGGAGAAGGATTTGCCCTGCACCAGCCAAACAGGAGTTGTGATAGCCTTGTTGTACCTGGAAGCAGCTCTGGGCGTGACTTACCTCCCTGCACAGGGCAGAGTTAGCCCCACAAGGCTGTGAATTGGGGTTTATCAGCCCACAATCACAATTAATTGTGACTCTTCCTCCTAAGGGATACCCCATCCCAAATCCTTATCTGGAACACCACAGAGAAGATATCTAGATAAGATAGCTGTTTCACTGAAGACCCAGTACCCATGGCAGCTTGCCCATTTCTGATTAATAGATCAGCTTCTCTAAGACAGCCATGTTTGACTGAAATCACCTGAATGTATAAACTGCCTCATGCATTGCTCAGCTTCCAGCCATGGCTGGGGCCTCACTGCCTTCACTGATGGAGGGGGAAAGCTCCCAGGATCCCAGGAGATCCAGCCACCATCAGAGAGGGAAAGGACATGAGCTCTGAGGGTCAAGGGACCTTCTCACAGGAGGCCTTGCAGGACAGTGGGAGGGCATGATACAGGTCTCCCCAGCCTGTTCTGCTTTTCTCCATTTCCAATAATTGGGACTGTGTCTTTTCTGTCTCCACTCCTCCCTCCAGAGCCCACACTTCAATCACAGTGCACATTTGACCAGGAAGCCTATGACTGTTGCCCAGGGCCAGGCAGTGCCATGAGATGCAGTGGGTGCCGACAGCAATTCTGTGTCTTGGTGTCTGTTGCCATTTTCATGGGCAGCCAGTGCTGCCCTTTTTTAGGCTGAGCTCTTTCAGCCCTGTGCTCTTCTTTTCCTCTGTGCTTGTTGGACATCAGAAGTCATCACCCCACTCCTGGTAAGAGTCCACTTTCACTCCTAGGAGAGAGGTCATGCTTCCCAGTGGTGCTTGGGAGCTTCACAATGGCTCCTGATGTGCCAGCAGCAAAACATTTGTGTTGCATTGCTGGTTGCAGGAGGCTTCTGCTGGGCAAAAGGTGGAGACAGGAGTGCTTCCCCATCGATAAGAGATTGCCCAGGGCAACCATCTCACCTTCTAAGCTCTGAGGCAGAGGCCCTTGTGGGTTTGCTCAGCCCAGGTTGCACAAGCATTCAGGTTTTGCTGTTGTTTAGTGAGCATCTGAGGTGCTGTGGGGCTAAGGAGGTGCAGCCTGAAGGTTCAGGATGATGGGCAAAGCATTACCTGTGAGGCAAGTGTCAGCAAAAGGGCTCCACACTTTCAGAAAGGGATGTCTGCATGGAGAGAGTCCATGCCCTGTTGCCAGCCCCTGAGAGGAAGGATATAAGAACCTCACCACACCAATCTATGGCACAGGGGCAAGAAGCCCTTTGGTGGCTGCAGATCCAGGACAGAGCCAGGAGGCTCTCCCAGCCAGAGCCTTCTCCTACTGTCAGGTGTCCTTCAACTTCAGTAAAAGTCTGAGGAAGCCCCTTCCCACTTAGAGCTCTGCTGTTTCATCTCTGGCTAGAAAGCAGCTGGTGGTGAGTTTGGGGAAAAGTCATTAACCCTGCTTCTCAGAAGTACTGAGGACAGAAGGAAAGACTTCATTTTCCTGGCAGATGTGCTGAGAGATGGTATCAGGGGAAAGAGGCACTTCAGCAGCAAGGATGGGAAGCTGTGCAGTGATGGGGTGGAGGGGAGGCAGGGTCCCTCTTCTTTGAGGGTAGTGGTATTTGTGGTTTACTACCCCATGCTAGAGAGGCAAGTCTCCTTGTGGAGGTAATGCATCCAGGTGAGATGTAAAGCCATGCTCCTTACCCCTTCCAATTAAAGATTCCTTCGCATTTTTCACAGTGTTCTGGCTAAATTACAGTCCTTAAACTTAATTACTGTCTGTCTTCTTCAATATCTGTTGCAGTCCCAATGTTATGTTTCTTTTCCTGTTTTATGTTGATCTGTGCCTATCAAGTAGCTGCTTTATTCCACTCCAGAAGTGGCTGCATTTCAGCAATGGTGGATATTATTCCTGTATATAGTATGAAAGTCCCTGCAGAAGAAAAGTGCAATATAAATTTAAGAGACTGCTTTTCTTTACAAGGAGACCTCTGCTTGGTAGTTGTAGAAATACATTAGGAAGAATGCTGTGTGGGTGTTAGCCAAGATATACTCGATTTTATTTTTTTTTCAGGGTGTAGAACAGAAAATATGTGAGTGTGCAGGCTCCTGGGTATAAGTTGTAGATATTAGAAGTAGTGAATGCTACTGTGTAGTTACAAGTGCAGTTTACAAAGAAACTTACACTTGAAACCTCTTTTTGTAGTTGTTCATCATATTCTGAAAAATGTACTTTTTAATTACAATTTTCTACAGTTCAGTGCAAGTCCAAATAATAGGTCATCAACAGAACTTTAATCCATGGCTTTTAACAATATGAACATCAATTCTTGCTGCTTGCCCTGAAATGCAGTTCCTGGCTGGTAATAATAATATTAAACTATTTTTCTTCCACAAAGATCAAACGTTGGAAAGTGGTGGACCTCACGTGTTCCATTTGATCTGGAGTTATGTAATTAGGAACACCTGAGTGCAACTCTTCCCAGCTGTATGGGAGTGAAAAATTGTTTCATGTATATGAAAAACCTTGCATAGTGCACAAATGGTTTGGGAACTACTCATGGGTCCCTTTCAACTTAGCATATTCTGGGATTCCATGATTGGCAGGCATGCAGAGCTGCTCCAGCAGAGCTGCACAGCATGCTGCCTGGAGCACAGCTGTAGCAACAGTGATAGGGAGCCCTTCTTCTCGGAGCTAGTTTTCTTCTGGAAAGAAATATGGTAGCAATCAGAGAAAATTGGTGGGGGTGGGGGGGCTTCAGATACTTAGGCTGGTAATTTTTTTTGCAAAAATAATTTAGAGATATGAGAATTAGTGTAGTAAATATGATACAAATTATATTTTATTCCCTATTGCTATCCAAAGTATTGAAATTTCATTTCTATCTATACAAAATCCTGTGGGTGCACTACTCCAGAATTACAAAAAAAATTACTACCAAAGGGAGAGCAGAGTCTGAATTCCTCCTCCTCAGCCTGTCCTTATCACTCTGTGCCAAAAAGCACACAGCTTTTGGGTTGGTGTCGGGTGCTTCTCAGCCTGGGGGGGACAGTCAGTGATGCCGGTGGGAGAAGCATCCCTCCACCACTGCCCTGAGCCTTGTGTCCAGCATGAAGTGGTCCCCATGCAAGGCACTATCAGGAGCAAACCTTGCTCCCCATTAGCTCTCAGCAAGGCTGAGGCAGGGAATATCGATGGGAATTGTCAGGGGGTCCTCAAGCTGCCCCAGGCAGGAACAGGCAAAGGAACCAGGACATTTTAGTAGTCCCTGGAGGAAATGGTGTCACTTCACCCCAATTGGAGACAAACCATTTTGCTAAAGCAGAGAGCTCAGGAAGCTGCTGCTTCAAGATGTTGCTGTTTTAGTCACCTTTGTCAGCACCATGCTGATATGTGTTTTTCTCTGGAAATACTGCAGCATCCCTTTACTTCCTGGGTGCCTTTAGGTGCCCTAGCAATGGCACGGAGGAACATATCACATGGGCTCTGTGCCTTGAGCTGGGTGTGGTAAGACAGTGCCACAGCACCTACTGATGCCCAGCTCCTGCAGCCAGGGAGAAGGACCCTGCTTTTCAATGATAACAAGCAGTTGCATTGAGAGTATTTCTTGTGCAAAGGATAGGCCTCCTGGCACTCCTGGCTTGGGAAAGACCACTCTTGGTCCTTTAAACTGCCCCAATATGTTGTCTTTTCCAGACTGCCCTCAATGTGGGTGCATCCCTCTTCATAGCAACAAGTGTGCAGCAGCAGGACTCTGTGCAGGCTGTTGCCATAATTTTATTTGCTTTGGCCCAACTAATAGCTGCTCATCCAGAGACAAAAGGCTTTTACAGAAGAAAAGTGCTGGAGAGCTCTGGCTATTGGATTTTAACCTGACCAAATTTACACTCCATGGTAATAGTAACTGGCAGCTGTTGGTTTCCAGCAGGGAGTTGAATAGCCTTGGCACACCCAGCATCCCAAATGATGGCTGTGGTCTATGGGTGTTTTCAGTTCTTCCCTTGGGATTAAGGCACATGTCGGTTTGGCTGACCATTTGCCACGACCCAGCACACCACAGGGGATTTTGGAGTCTTCTGATGGTTATTTATAGTTTGTTATGGTCATTTCAGACCACTTGTGCCATGGAGGCTTTAAACACCCCAAGAAGCACTGTGGGATAGCCCAGGACTACTTTTGACCAACCCACCATTACAGAGTGGGGGAGGATGCAGCTTGCAGACAGCTGTAGTCTGCAGGATGACCTCTTGGCCATGGAAAAACAGTGCCATCCCACTCCATTTTGTCTGAGATGTGTGCCTGACATCCAGACCCTGGGCTGTGATTCATGTGCATGCTCGGTGACTTTGCTGTCAAGCATCCTTTCTCAAGAAGAGAGAGAGCTCCAGAGACAGACAGCAAGTCAGCAGGACTTATGGTGTCCCTGTGCTGTGTGGCTGCAGGGAATGGGGCCTCAGTCCAGGTCACTTAGATCTGCTCTGGCACCTTCTCCATCTTGCTCCCTGCAGCCCTGGCAAAGCCTGAGGGGCTGGTGGGGCTGCCTGGGTGGTGGTGGTGGAGCAGGAGCACTTCAGGGCATGTGTTGGCTCCATCATGGACCTAGTATGGATCATGCCCTGGCTTCATCAGAGGCACAGGAGGGATCACAACATGCATGGCTGAAAGGATGGAACAGAACTTGTGTGTGTTTTCTGGAAAAGGAGAGAGGAAAGATGAGCTCCACAGTGCATTGTCCTTTGCTTCACTCATGGCAGGCAGCAGGCTCTGACCTGAGGCTTCTCAGATGCTGAGCAGAGATACTAAAGAAAATTTTGAGACCAAATTTCCCAGTAAAATGTACTAGCCCAGCTCCAGATCCTCCATGAAGAAGCCAGGCAAACCACTGTCCTCCCATGGGTGATCCCTGACGAAAGCTGCAAGGGGCTGGTCCCAACTTGTGAGCACTGTCCTCTTCTCTGCTGCCTTTCATGGTGAGGGTTTTACAGCATGGGACAGAGAACAAGGGAAAGGGAGAGATGCCGTCTTTACTGTTGCAAAGGTAGAGCTGGGTGATTAGAGGTTTTTGTAGAGAGCTGTGCAAGTCTGTGGAAAATCCAGGTTTTGCTGGCTTTTGCTATTGCCTATAAACAATTTGCTCCCGTGGAATAAGACAAAATTTTGCACTTCCATTAACTATTGTTCTAAAAGGAAACTGGGCTATGAATGTTTGACTTATAGTGGGATTTTTTACCCCCAGAATGGCCTAAACTCAGTATAAGATAGGGCCAGCTGGACAGCTGTCATACACTGCTAGTCCCCAGTGCCCAAAGCTCATAGTGATGGATATACCTTATGCTGTAATGGCTGGGGCCTTGTCTGAAGCTTTGAGCTAGGTGAAGGGTACCTGTCTGCTCTGCCACCCATGTGCATCTGTCCTGTCTTCCAGCCAAGTCTGTAGGAAGATAAAAGCTGTCCTGCTGCTGCTGCGAGCCAGCAGAGATCTGCTTTGGCTGGGGAAGATGGGCTCTGGTCCTGCCATTTAGGCAGTGAAGTGGCTTCCAGTTGTGTAAAGCCCAGCTGTTACAATTGAGAGATGCTCCAAGATCTTCAGAAGTTGCATAACTATGGCAAGCCTCAATTCATCGTAAAGGCAGGGCCTGGGTAGGAGCTGGGATGTGCGAGATGTCAGCAATCCTGCTCTGCCACTCTGAGTGAGCTGCACCTCCTTTGCTATCAGCATTACAGCAGCTCAAGGCTGAGCCCAAACTAGCCAAGAGCAAGTGCAACCTCACTTCCTGCTCTGCATTGCAGCCTCTGCAGCCAGGCACCAACAAGTTTTCTTTTGTTGACCCTGATAAGTAACGTGGTGCTGAGATGAAGCTGTTTCCAGGTGTTGCTTGCACTGTAGGTCTGTCACTGGTAAGGTGTTTATCTTAGCAGCTTGTAGAGGATCAAAGCTAAAAGCTGAGGTGTGGGTGTGTTGAAGCTGCCAGAAATGCAGCAGGGAGGAAATAGGGCCCCTTTTGGAGGTGGTCTCCCCAGCTTTCCCTTTTCCACAGTCCATGCTCCAACTCAGAGTACCTTCAAATTTGGGGCATTTGGTATATTATGTCTCACTGGGCCTTGTTCTCAAGAGCCAGCTGTGGGTATCAGTAAACAGAGTGATAGCCAGGCTGTAGCAGCATGGTCAGCTCAGACAGCACCTAGATTGTGCTGAGAGGAGAATATAGATACCATTCTATTTATAAAATGCAACAGGCATTGACTGGAGTAGTGTTTGGGTCTTTTGTATGGATGGCAGCATGTACCACACAAAGACTGAGCAAGGGACTGGTGAGCATTTTCCCTGGGAAAATTCAGATGGTGATGAGGGAAGGTATTTACAGACTTGGAGCAAAGAAGCTTTCCTATGCATGTAGCATCCTGAGACAAGAAGACTCTCTCAGAGTTTGCTGGAGGTGACCTTTTCCTCACATCAAACTTTGTTTGTTCTTCCCTGCTGCTCCTCCTCAGCTTCACAGCACATTGATGTAATTGTTTGTGTTAAAGCTGGGTAAAGTGGCCTAGTGTCAGTACTTTCAAATAGATGAGTTTGGCCTGCTTTCCCATTTTTGGGATCTTCTAGATGTACCAGCTCATTCCACAGCAGGGGGTTCCACAGCATGCATTCATCTTAAGACATTCCCTAAAAGCTGTGAATGCTATGGATACATGGTTCTTCTTTGTGGTTTTAGTCACAGCCCTTGCCTGACAGCATGGAGACAATCTCTAATCTCTAGATGGAATGGGAAATTTGGTGCCAGCATGGTTTTGCTTGGCACCCAGTCAGAGCCATCCTGCCTGTATCACAATACACATAGCAAAGGGGCCATCATCCAAGATACAACTGTTCTCATGGGGAAACAACTGTGATATCTGCTTTTGGCCAAAAGTGAGCATCAGACAGTGATTTTCACACTCTTTTCAGTCTATCCCCCTGCTCCTTACTTAACTCTCATCAAGTGTTTCATTTCCAGCCTGGAGAGATGGCAGCAGACTTCATCCCTGGATCCCATAGGAGGGGATCACACCAAAATCCCATCCTCAACTTCTGAGGTGCAGGGAGAACCAGCTCAGGCCCAACAGTGAGCCACTTCAGTGGGATCTAGTTCCAGTGGGACTGCATTGCCTCACACTTCTAGGTCACCAAGGGCAGTAAGAAAGTGTTGGTTGACCTAACAGAAGTGTTTGGTAAGCAGCCCCCAAATGGAGTGACAGACAAAGTCTGTGTGTTTGGGGATACTGTGGAGAAGGGAGGGGGGTCCTCTGGTGTCTCTTGGGTTTTTGCTATCAGTATCCTAGGTGGGAATCCTGGGACAGAGCCTCATCTCCACCCACCTCCCTCATTGCCACCATGTCTTGTCCCATCCCCACTCCACATCTCATAGAGTGCCATCGCCGCCACTGAGTGGAGCTGGGACCCTCCTTGCCACCATGATGCCAAGCCGTCCACAATGTTAAAAGCACAAAACACAAAGGACTAAACTGAACCTTTTAAACAGGGTGAGATGTTTTATAAGCATTGCCTCATCCACCACCTCCCCCCAGCCCCAGTGCATTCGCCATGTAACCTACAGGTTCTCAATGTGGATTGTTTCATTCAAATAAAGCTGCAGTACTCAAGTGGGTGAGCCTGTGTGTCCCTCTCTGTGGGGTCGGGGTGACAAGGTGCAGCCTGCAATTGGTGCTGACAGTGGCTGGGGCAGGGAGGAGCTTGTATTGCTGCCCAGTCCTGAGGCATGTGCCAGTATTTGACCCTGAGCCTTTCCCAAAAGATATGATTAGAAGTCCCTGGGGCAGGCTTCTTAGATTGCTCAAACCCTAGCACAGAGGCTGGGCATAGGACATGGCACAGGCAAGTTTGGGGCAGTTAGTGCTGGGGAACCCTTGTGAAGGGAGTGTCTCAGAGCCCTCCCCTGATGTTCCCTTACCCAGCACTCCTCCTGCCTTTTCCCAGACCTGCAGCTGTTGAGGTTGCTGGCTGCTGATGATACCACTCAAAACTGATTCTTTTGTCCTTTGCTCTTGACTTCTGCCACAAGAAGAAGAGTCAAGGCAGCAGCTCCAAAACTAGTAGGTGTGAAACAAATCAACAGCCCTGGGCTGTCAGTGTGGTGCCAAGGCCCCTTCTCCTGGTACTCCCCTCCACCCCAGGGTCTCCAGCATAGGTCCAGCTATTCCAAGGACCCATCAGAGAATGGGCAATGCCAACCATGACCCATGTGATGCCTAAGGTATTCTTGGGTGAACATGTCTTCTCTGCCATGAGATCTACAGGGCTACTCAGCTTAGGCCCTAAGTTAACTTTACCTCATCTGAGCCCTTAAGAGCAACACTTGAAAGAACCGCATGTGAAAGCCAAACATAGTTTTGCTTTATGCACCACAAGCTGCTGTTGGCTGAACCTCATCAGACTCTAAAACAAAGCCAGCACCCAGGTGCCTACCCTGACTGTGGGGCAGTGGATGATATAAAC